TTTAGAAAGAGAGGAAGGGAAAGAGAAAGAGACATCAATGTGAGAGAGAAACATCAATCAGTTGCCTCTCATATGTGCCACAACCGGGGATCGAACCTGCTGGTATATGGGACAATACTCCAACTAACTGAACCACCTGGCCAGGGCTAATTGTATATTTTAAATACAGTGCATGCAGTTTATTTTTTTTAAATTCTGTCTTAATAATGTATAAAAGGAAAATTTTGGAAGTGGTAAAAAATGACCTAGTACAAAAAGTAATTGATTTATGAAACCCAATTAATTTAAATTATATCCAAAAGTTTTAAATTTCCTTGTTAAGTTAGCAAGCATATTTCTATACAACGGTCACATCTCCTGAAGCAGTTTTTCATACTTCTGCTAATGGAGCACCAGGGCTGCACTATTCTTTATAGAATTTCACAACCTGTGCAGGAATGGCATGAAGTACTAATAAATTTAATTCTATCATAAAAGCCACAAATGAATTTCACAGCTGAAAAAGACTCTATTTACTGTGCATAACATAATGTGCATCCAAGAATAAAAAAGCTATTAAAATTAGTATGATGCCCTGATTTGGATTTTAGGGTGAATATTCATTTATTAGTTTATTTTTTTTTGTTGTTGTTTGCTGGTGTTCATTTAGCAAGTAGCAGGCTTGAGAAAAACGTATTGTTGAAAATAAAAACTGAGAATTTTATGGCATTAATTTGTTTCTCATGAACGGAGAAAAGGTTGCCTTTATTCCATTTTAATGGCAGCACACTCTGAAAATCTGGAACACACAGTTTCATGACCACGGCCCTGGATCACAGGGCTCCCTGGGAGGGTTAAAAACACTTAGAACCATATCAAGTGAGGAAAACATTTATAACACTACCTAATACATTTAAAAGATAACATCTCTACAAAAAAATTGTTTGCTCATCACAATCAACCCGAATTATCCAGGTTGGATGTAATTTCACTGATGAAGAATTTCAGTGTCTAATTGCAATGAGGGTCAAAGGAACTCACAAACCCATCAACAGTGAGGGATCCTGCAAAAGAGATTTGAAAATTCTTGTGAGAAGGGAATTCAAAGAGCAAGATGGGCATAGGAACCACAGTGCAGGCCACCACCTCACCACAGCTCACTGTCTGAGTACCTGCCTCACTTACAGTTAAAGATAAACATTCAACAAATGAGACCAACTCCACACTCTTTCCCTGCCCCCAGCAAAATCCCAGAATAATTACCACGGTGAACTAAGAAAAAGTATTTTTTAAACTGGTACACTAGTTTACAATATATGTATTTTTTAGAAATCTCAACTGAGGTATCCTGTAGACAAAGAAGTGTTCTCTAGAACATGAGTACTTTGAAACCTATGAAAACACCTGACTGATACACACCTGGCAGTGAAAGCACAGAAAGTGGTGAATATGTGTTGCTGACAGAGTGCTCAAATCCAAACTGTCAAGACCTTAAAATCCATAAAGTATTTGATATCTACTACAATGCTTTAATTTTCTCTTGAAAGACTAGCTATGTTAATGGTTATGTAGATTTGTTGATGATAACCTCTAGCCTTAAAACAATATTGATGCAGCTTATCAAGGATGACATTTCCCACAGAAAAGCAAGCAGGAGCTTGGCCATCACTTTCTTTAAAAGCCACTGTGAATGTTCAATATAGCTTTATGGACAATCTTAAAAGATCCTATAATTTGTTCAGTCATTTTGCCCAACAGGAATACCTAATTTAGCATCCTTTTAAATAGTTTTTTTGAAATTTAAATAATTACAGATTCATAAGAAATTGCACAAATGGCACAGAGACGTCCTGTATGACTGTCACTCAGCTTCCTCCAGCAGAGGAAGGCGTTCATCTTCCATAACCGTGGAGTATGTCAAGACCAGAAATCAACATCAGCAAACGAATTGCCTAAACTGCCAAGTATTTCTATTTAACATTTAAGAACCTGAAATACAATAGAAAAGTTCACGTGCAAGCCTGACGGAATTTTCACAGCTCAAACATGCCCATGTAACCAGCACTCTAACAAGGAGCATGGGTGCCAGAACTCCAGGATCACCCCTTCCCGTCCACCCCCTGCACCCCCATCCACTTCTAACAGCACATAGGAGCATTGCTTTTCTTATTTTTATACAGTAAAATGGAGCCATTCTGCATATTCTGTTTGTGTCTGTCTTCTTTTACTCAGCATAATGCTGGTGGGACTCATACATATTACTGTGTATAGTTACAGACTGTTCATTCTCTCTGCACTACAGTATCCCATTCCCATGGTGTGAATACACCATCACTTACTTAGCAATCCACTACTGTGGGCATTTGGGTAATTTCCACTTTTGAGCTTTAATTAATAGTGTTTCTAAGAGTATCCAAGTAAGTGTCATGTGCATTTCTGTTGGATGTATACTAGGAATGGAATCACTGGGTCACAAGGTATGTTTTTGCTCAGCTTTAGTGAATAGACAGGGCCCTTAGTTTTCCAAAGTGGTTGAATCAATTTACACTCCCACCAACAATGTGTGTGAGTTCAATTGCTCCACAATTTTTCAAGTTCACCCATTCTTTTGGGTAGCCACCACATTTTGCCGTGTGTAATACGCACCCACGTGTTTGTGGGGATTACTATACCCATGGTATGTCATCATTATACACATGTATAATGCGCATCCTTATTTTTCCCTAAAAAATATGGGGAAAAAAGTGCATGTTACACATGGCAAAATATGGTAGTACATGTTCTGGAAAGGAGAATTATAGAGTTAAACATCAAACAGAATACTGGTGGAATAACCAAAATAATAAGTTTTCTCCAAATAATCAAGATTATCTAAAGTATTTTATAAGGCAAAACAATCTAAAATTTAGCCCTCGCTGGCATAGCTCAGTGGATTGAGTGCAGGCTGCGAACCAAAGTGTCGCAGGTTTGATTCCCAGTCAGGGTACATGCCTGGGTTGTAGGCCATGACCCCTAGCAACCACACATTGATGTTTCTCTCTCTCGCTCTCTCTCTCTCTCCCTCCCTTCCCTCTCTAAAAAATAAATAAATAAAATCTTAAAAAATTAAAAAAAAAAAAACACAAACCCCCCCCCCAAAATCTAAAATTTCAAATTTGTTGTTAAAATATACTATCATTTAATTAATTAAATTATCCTGAGTTGGTGGTAGGGCTGTGTTTCCCAAACATGTCTGATATTATGAAGCACCTGGGATGCTTCCTGTAAATACAGATTTTCAGACGATCTGTCAGATCTCCTTAAGGAGAATCTCTTTGGAAAGGCCTTGAAATTTTTTATTAGGACCCCCAAAAGATTCTTATCGGGCAAAACACTGCTGGTGGAGGACCTTTTGGCATTAACTATTTAAAAGTAAATCAGAGTGGAAAATCCATCCTTTGGGATTTTTTTGGACTTTGGGGTCCCAGCCCCAGAATCTTTCTGGATGTTGTCAAGTTCTGTAACAACTTTACAGGCAAATATTGTTTTAATAGTTGGATAAATTGAGGCCAAAGTGTTTTGCGCCCTATGTGGTTGAGTAATACCAAAAATATCAGAGAGGGTTATGTTTGATAGACAGACTTCCTGATATTGCTAATCTTCAAAAGGAGTTTTTCCTACTAACTGGGCTAAAAGAAAGAGAATCTGTAGTTTGAAAGGGCTGCATAGTGTTATATAGGAGGCAGAACATGAAAAGTGGTTACAAAAAACCTGTTTTCAAACTCAAGTGCAACACACACCTACGGAAATCTGAGTAAGTCAAAGTACCCTTTCTACCCCATTTTTTTCTCTGTAAAATGGAGATATCACCTAGCTTTACTGTCATTGGGGGCACAAAATAAATTAAGACCAATAAAAGAGATGAATACATAGTAAAAATTAATATAAAGTTATTATTTTCCTTTGTAATCTGGTTTTCCATCCTCTTGTGTTATTGCTTACCTGTAAGCTTAACTAAGGGCATGTTTTGTAAAATTTTCTAATTACCAGTATATTGCAACTCAGTTTTTGTAAGAGAAGTGAATAATTAAAGTTAAAAGAAAGAAACTGTTTAATTCCACATTTCCACATTTTCCTTAACTTTCATCTCTGTTGATGGAAACTGTCAGTCCTATAACTTATGGCTGAAAATGATTACAAACAATAATTTGGAAAAATGTAGTAACAAGGAATAACGAGGTAACAGAATACTATAATTTTAAAATAAAGTTGAACTCTTCCAGAACTAGAGAACATTGCTAAGGGCTATATACAAATGACTTAAAAAAAATAGTACTAAAACCACTTGAAAAAAGCCAACATTTCAATTTAGTCTTCTAGATGACTTTCTAACATCAACATATTAAGTAGTCAAATGGCATTTATTCTGAAGATCAAAATGCTTCCAGAATCACATTTTATTTGCAAGAATGTCTGTGAAAACCACTTTCATAAAAATAGATTTAATTCTATGTACTGAAAAGAAGTCTACCATATTTGGATTATATGGCTATGAAAGGCCCATTTAACACTATCTGCCAATTACTACATATAAAAAGAAATTATGAAGATTTATATTATATGAAGCCTCCTCCAGCTCTGTGCAGTTTGGGTCTTCTAATCTTAATGCTGGGGAAAAACTCTGGAAAACATTAGCACTTATTTTAAAAAATATTAGACTTCTATTTACAAGAAAATTTGTAAATAACAAGTTAATGTCTTATATGTATTAAAATTCACCATAAAAATTGAGAGTAAGAAAGCTATAATTAATAAATATTCAGGCCAATGATCTGTGTAAATCTGGGGCAAACCCCTCAACTGTTATCTGGTGCCTCAGTTTCCTCCTGTGTCAAATGTGGATAATGGAAATACCCACTTCACAGGGCTGCTGTGAGTTCAGATGGGGAATGCTTAGAAGAGTGCTTGGTGCCACGCACGCCATGCACGCACAGAGCAGTCACTAGAGCAGTCCTAGCAGCAGTGAACAGGACAGAACTTACGGGGCACTGTCACACCATAGTGCTGCGTGTCACTCATCAGCAGCTTTCGTTTCAGTTCATTCAAACCTACACCTACAGGACCTGGAAAACAGAATAATATAAGTTCATTACTCAACAAAATACCATATAAGCATTTCTGTAATTGACAAAAATCCACAGGACATAGAACATGCATCCAATTTCACATGCGTCCCAGGTAGAGATTATCTCTAGTTGAGTTGTACATAAGAACAAGCTAGTTGTTTTGTTGTTGTTAATTTAAAATTTGAATTCCCACCTTTATATTAAGAAGAATAGAAATATCTATGTTTTAAATAAACATACTCAAGAGTATCTGAGTACATTACCCAGTAATGGTATCCAGTAGAGCCTAAAACATTTGTTCACCTAAAAAAAAATGGAAATTTTAAAATCACTATCCACCATTTGGATAGTGATCATTTCAATTTTAAATGTTTTTAGGTCTAATTAAATAAAATCTTTGAATTTTAATTTTATTTCATATGCAAATCTAAAGATGCATTTTAAATTTGCAAACCATTAGCCGCATTTACATTTGTCAAGATCTTCTCCTACACTCTGTATTTTCAGTTGGTCCTTAACCATTTGAAAACTTGCATAGACTTTACATATTTAAATCAATCAATGCATATATACTAAACATTTATAGGGAGCAAGGCATATAGTAAATGGCCAGCTTCTCACAACTCTGCCCTGAGGGTCTATTTAATGACAGTGCCATGCTTTGGGCAGAATACAAGCTGCAGAGCCAGCCTGCCCTGAGTTGGATTCTGACCTTCATTACTTCCTCACCTGGTGATGATACTGGATGTTATTATCTGAATGTGTGTGTCACCCCTCAATTTACATGCTGCAATCCTAATGCCCAATGTGATGGTGCTAAAGGATGGGCTTTTAGGAGGTGATTAGGTCATGAGGGTGGAGCCCTGATGAATGGGATTAGTGCTCTTGTAGAAGAGATCTCACAGAGCTCCTTCAGCCATGATGACACAATGAGACATTTGTGACATGGAAGAGGGTCACCCTCTATGCTAGCACCCCAATCTCCAGAATTGAGAAATAAATCTGTGGTATTTTTTTACAGAAGCTGTTAACAGACTAAGACACTAGACAAGTTAAAGTCTCTGAGATTGATCACACTTCATTCTAATTCTAAAAGTAATAATGAAATAAGTAAAAGTAATTATGTTCCCTTTTGGGAAGGAATAAATGAAAACTTATGGGTAGTGCATAGCATAGAATCCAGGTATTCAAGTGTTTATGCTCTTGCCTTCTTCCTCTTGCCAACTTTAAAAAGGAAAGGTTTCATCCTAATGAAGAACATGTAGGTGGACAGAGAACAGTAAGATGAGTGTTCTGGGTAGACGGAAAGTTGTGAGCAGTAACAAAGAGGCTGGAGTTAGGGACTGTGCCTTCCTTCCAACACTATTTCTAGGCCCCTCAACCTATATCAAAGACTTGCCCCTGCTGGCTATCCACTACAACCGTCATCTTTCCAATCTTTCCACCAGCTGTTGTCAAGTACCAATTCTCTGGCAACTTCCTCTGCTTCTTCTCTAAGACAGAGCTTCTCAAGTCTCCCTTTTCATAGTTGATACTCTGCAATATTCCGTTTGTCTCCTAAATGGGCTTTGTAGCTAATATAATTTACCAGTACATATAATTCCTCCCTTCAAATTAACATAAGGCCCTAAATGTAATAGACAAATGATTAAAAAGTGATTTATGATGAAAAACAATCTCTATTTCAGTATGTAAATGCTCAGGTACAACTAGGGTATAAAATCTATTGAAGTCAGATGTTTGCATCTTAAATAAGTATGGATTCAAGAGTAATAAAAAGATTAGGAGCCACTCTGCACAAAAAAGTACAGGAAAGGGTTCTGGTCAAGATGGTGGTACAGGTAAACATTGTACTTACCTCCGCCCATGGCCACATCAAAATTACAACTAAATTATAGAACAGCCATCACTGAGAACCTTCTGAAGGCTAGCTGGGCAGAAGTCCTATAACTAAGGATATACAGAAGAAGCCACATTGAAATTGGTAGGAGGGGAAGAGACATGGAATGGGCTAGTCCACACCCACGTTGGCAGCTGAAAATTGGGAGGGGTATCTAAGTTGCTGAGGTCCTTCCTGGGGGTCCAAGGTCCCAGCCCCACACTGGGGTTGTAGCTCCCAAGTCCAGGGTTCTAATATTGTAAAAAGAAGTCTCTATAACTTCTGGCTTGAAAACCAGTGGGGACTGTGGCTGAGAGTCAGAGGACTGCTGGAATATCAGGCATTCCTCTTAAAGGGCCTACACATGGACTTATTCAGACTCCCTTGTTCTGAGCTCCAGTACCGGGACGGTAGCTCCAAAGGCACCAGACACATAGAGGGAGGAACTGAAAGGTCTGGCTTCAGTAAAGGGCTAGAGGGGTGGCTTTCTCCCAGACAGAAGTACCGGCAGAGGCCATTTTTCCTTTGTTGAGCCATTCCACCACAAAGCTACAGGGGGTGGGGGTGGGTGTTGGTGCGGCATCATATCTGCATCTCCATCCACTTAGCTAATGGGGTTCACCCTACCCTGGTGATTTTCCACTCAACTTTCAGACCCACCCAAGGCACTTCCAGTGGCTTTTCCATACAAATGGCCTATCTTGGCTCATGATGCAGACTTCCCTAAAACCACTCAAAGGTTCACAACCCCAAATAAGTAGCATCTAATCTTGGCATGCCCCATATCTCTTGCTAATGAGCCCCAAGCTTGGCACTGAGGCAGCCATTCTAGTATTCAGCTTTGCCTCTCCCAGGCACCTCCAAGCCCAGCATAAGTGGAAACCATCTGCAGATCACTTTTGTAGCTCATATCAAGTGACCCTGGGTAGGACACAGGCAGAAACAACTTTGGCCTGCACCAGAGCTTCTCCCAAGAAGCCCCAACATACCTGGTAGCTAGCTTCAGACCACAGTAGAACACGACCCAATAAGCTCCACAAACAACTCACCTGAAGGGAAGACTCAGCAGGCCCTTGAGCCTTGTTAAAGTGAATCCTGCTCCATAGGGTCAGCCCCTGCACAATAGCTCCTCCACTAAGTCACCACCCTCCTCATAACCAATCATCCTCAGAATCAATCCCTCCCATTGATGTACCACCAGCAATCAAGGCTCAGTTACAACAGGAGGGCACACATAACCCAGATAAGGGATAGACCTGCATTACTTGTCACCAGAACACTGTGCCAATAGGCCCTACAGGACACGTGTTACGTAAGGCCACTCTACAAGACTGGGAGACATAGCAGCTCTACCTAATACACGGGGGGGGGGGAATCAAGGAGGCAGCCAAGGTGAGGAGAAAAAGAAACATGTCCCAAGTGAAAGAACAGAACAAAACTCCAGAAAAAGAAGTAAACAAAATGAAGACAAGAAATCTACTAAATTCATAGTTCAAAACACTGGTAACAAATATGCTCAATGGTTGCAGTGAGAACTTCAACAAAGAAATAGAAAACAAGAAAGTACAAGTAGAAAAAATAAAAAAGAAACAGCCAGAAATGAAAAAATGAAGAATAACTGAGCCCTGGCTGGCGTAGCTCAGTGGATTGAGCGCGGACTGGGAACCAAAGTATCGCAGGTTCGATTCCCAGCCAGGGCACATGCCTGGGTTGCAGGCCATAACCCCCAGCAATCGCACATTGATGTTTCTCTCTCTCTGTCTATCTCCCTCCCTTGCCCTCTAAAAATAAACAAATAAAATTAAAAAAAAAAAAGAATAATTGATATGAAATACGTATTACAAGGAATCAGTAGTAGAGTAGATGAAAGAGAGGATTGAATGAGCAATTTGGGAGACTAGGTAGCAGAAAACACCCAATCATGAAAGAAAAAAGAAAAAGAATCCAAAAAAATGAGGTTAGTTTAAGAGGTCTCTGGGACAACTTCACACACACCAACATTTGCATCACAGGGGTGCCAGAAGGAGGAGAGAGAGAGAGAGAGAGAGAGAAACTGAAAACCTATTTGAAAAAAAAAAATGACAGAAAATTCCCCTAACCTGGTAAAAGAAATAAACATACAATTCCAGGAAGTGCAGAGAATCCCAAACAAGATGGACCCAAAGAGGCCCACACCAAGACACATCAAAATTAAAACGGCAAAGGTTAAAAACAAAAAGAAAATCTTAAAAGCAGCAAGAGAAAGCAGTTAATTACCTACAAGGGAGTTAATAAGACTGTCAGCTGCTTTCTCAACAGACACTTTGAAGGCAAGAAGGGGTGAAAAGCAAGGACCTACAACCAATACTACTATTACCCAGCAAAGCTGTCATTTAGAATTGAAGTACAGATAAAGAGCTTCCCAGACAACAACAAAAAAAAAGCAATAGGAGTTCATTACCACCAAACCAGTATTACAAAAAATGTTAAAAGGACTTCTTTAAGAAGATAAAAAGAGCCCTGGCTGGCGTAGCTCAGTGGATTGAGTGCGGACTGCGAACCAGGCATCGCAGGTTTGATTCCCAGTCAGGTCACATGCCTAGGTTGCAGGCCATGGCCCCCAGCAACCACACATTGATCTCTCTCTCCCTCTCTCTCTCTCCCCCCCCCCTTTCCTCTCTAAAAATAAATAAAAAAAGAAGAAAAGTCAAACTTTTTAAAGAAAAGAAGATAAAAATGTGAATAATAAAATGGCAATAACTACATATCTATCAAAAATTACTTTAAATGTAAGTGGACTATATGCTCCAAATGAAAAACACTGGGTGGCTGAATGGGTCATAAAGTAAGACCCTACATATGCTACCTACAAGAGACTCATGTCAGATTGACAGACACATTCAGACTGAAAGTAAAGGGATGGAAAATATTTCATAAAAATGGAAACAAAAAAAGCTGAGGTATCAATATTTACAGACAAATAGACTTTTAAACAAAGGTTATAACAATAAGCAAACAAGGACCCAGCAATTCCATTTCTGGGTATTTATCTGAAGAAACATGAAACACTAAATCAAAAAGACATATACATCCATTTGTTTATTGCAGCATTATTTAAAATAGCCAAGATATGGAAGTA